TATTAAGCTGAGTTCCTCTTTAGCTATAAATGGTTGGATATTGACTCTATCATCAAATAGAGAATCCGTAACCATCGGTCCTTATGGTCAGGATACCTGCTTTCCTGCTGGCTTTACAAACAATTGTGGTAAGACAGTGTTGGTTTGGGTCATTTCAAATCAGGTCTGATTCAAACAGTCTGAAGAGTCAAGGAACAGGACATGCAAAACTGTTAGTCTGGAATGGCTGCTCTGGATTCTTTTAAAATGGCTCCACTTATGTCAACTTTCACACAAGTCAGTGCCTCCTATCGGTGTGTTTCAGATTATTTGCACTAATAGGTGGGGCTGGCCTTAGAAGTACACACTGAAATGCCCAGCCTCTGTGGGAAGCATGTCTGCGTGAGCACACACACACACACACACACACACACACACACACAGGATCATACAGCCTCCAGTTTAATCAATGGTTCACCTAGGAAGGCAGAAAATAGAAGTAGGAAATAGAAATAGTGGTCAATATTCAAAAGTTCAGCTAGGCCGAGAGTTCATATCTGTAAAGACTTCCAAATTCTGTCTAAATCAAGAGTGGCTCAGGAATTGGAAGCTGGACTGAAGAAACAAGGAAGAGGGTGATATGAGAGGATTCAGTCTGCAGTGAGCAACCTAACCCCACACTGCTCCTGGGTCACAGGACCATCAAGCACAGAACCCCAGCTCTTCATATGGGTGGCCTATCTATCCCCTGCAGCCTTCATTGTGTCCACCTCACTCTTTGCTGTTCCCTGGCCTGCTCTTGATTATCCCAGCCCTTGATCCTTGGACTCACTGCCTATTTATAGACTGGCAGTTGCAGTCCTGACAGTATCTCTGACCCTGAAGCTGGCTTCTGTCCTCACCCACAATTTGAATTTACTCCCTTTAATTCTGCTGCTTCCCTCTCTCAGTCCAATATCTCTCCTCACTCTTACTGTTTATATGCAATTGCAGTTCCTGACTTGGCTCCCATTAGAGAAATATGTAGGAGAGACTGTTAACTAAGTATAAAATTGCTAAGTAGTGAAAAGAGTGTTTAATGTATCACCCAGGCAGTGAATAGAACTTGGAGGGCTGAATGGGCAAAAAGAAAGAGGTAGAAACTTAGAAGAGGCTGAAACTCAGACCGTTAAGAAGGGGTCTGCATGGCTAGGTGTCTCTGTTAGGGGAAATGATGAGGTTGGTTCTGCTGTCTCCGAGATGGTGCAAAATAATGCTAACTGTGCGAAATGTTAAGTCAGATGCCGGTGCTGCTAAGGAACTGCTGGTGTCTGAGTGAAGAAGGGTTACTGGGGTGATGCTCACAAGACAAGGAAGTAGACAGAAAGCCCCATAAGGAACAAACAGAAAGAAGCACGGCCCTTCTTCCTCCTCCAGCCCCTTTATAGCCCGCTCTTGGCAGAGCCCGACTAGGAGTCAGCTGTGGAAGATGAATGTGCTTTGCCCCAGCATCACAGAGCAGATACAGAAGAGTAGATTTTACTCTGACAACAATTCAATATCTGGCAGGAAGGCTGATCCTGCCTTCCACAAATATTTGCGTGCTTACTCTATTCTAGGCATAAAAGATAGAACCATGAGTAAAACAATAATATTAATTTCCCCCCTGAGTAGTTACATTACATTATATACTCTACAGTGGGGAGAGAAAAATGGACAAGAAAAACAAAATAAATTAAAAAAAAATAGCATGTTAGGTGGTAAGTGCTCTCAGGAAAGATAAAAGCAGTGAAGATGACAGGGGAAGAGAACAGGTATCAATTTTAATCCAGCTGTTCAGGAAAGGGCTGAAAAAAAAAAAAAAACCACAACACACACACACACACACACACACACACACACAAAACAAAAAAACAAGAGAGCAATGACACAGGGAGTGAGTCATGCAAATATTTGAGGAAAGAGCATTCTAGATAAGGGCTGGTAGAGGGGAAGGTCGCTTAGGGAGGGCCTTATCTACCATTGTAAAGGCTGTGGCTGTTACCTTGGTGATGTGGGTAGTTATGGAGTACAGAAGTAACATGATCTGACTTATGTTTTGAAGGGATCCTTCAGAGTGCTCTTTGGAGATTAGATTGACCTCCTTGGATTCATTCACCTTGGTCATGCCAACAGGACCTTAATTCTGGATCTAGGGTCTTGCTTACCACATACATACATCACTTCTCTCTCCCCCTGCAGTGGTAGGCAGGCCCCAGCCAGGCTCCAATACCCCTGCCTCTGGGCTGCAACTTCACGCCACAATCACAACCCCGCTTCTTGTTTGCTTTTGTACCCACTGAATTGAATAGTCTCTCCTCCAGTCGCTCTGCTTCTCTGGTGGTATGTTTGGTCTTGTGAGAGTTGGTGGTGGCTTCATATCCAATATTTGTTCACTCTTTCAACAAATATGTATTGAACACCTAGTATGTGTCGAGTGTTCATGCAGGTGTGGTGATACAACAGTGAACTAGACGCATTAGTTCTCTGTTCTGGAAATGGCCATGGTGGGTGATACAAGAAATATGGTAGCAATCATACTTGGATAAAAATTGCTTGAATTTTAACCTTGCTATCTGACTTTGACCTTCGATTACTTGCTTAAACAATAGGGTAGTTACAGGAGATTGACTCCCACTGACACAGTAACCTCAGGGGTAGAAACTATAGATAACCTTTAGTTCTGCTTTTTATTATGGGCAAGATAGGGCCACATTCCAATGTTCAGCAGGGTGTGACTGGGAACCAACCCTGCAGGTTCTCCCCAGTCTTTAGAATTTAGTCTTTAGGATTTAGGAACAGATAAGGATGACCAGTTCTTTGTCCTGAGGGGCCAATCAGGGTTAGCCGAGGCAGTGACATCATCGCCGACCTGAGTAAAACCCCTGGACTGGGCCAAGTTCGCTCTCTTCCGCCATGCTGCCGGTGTGAGTGGGACAGCCCATGCTAGCATGGAAAGGACTCTTTTGTTTATTGCATCGGACTCGGCTCCCTGGTGGTCCTAGGACCATGAGGGACCCCAATCCGGAGAGCCTGACTGGCCGCGGTAGGTGTGTGTTTGTCTGTGTTTTTGTGTGAGTGCTCTGGAGGGACTGCCCGTCCATCGGGGCTCTTACCTGGGTGTTTGCTGGCTGCTGTGTCAGCCATGGTTTGAGCCCGGATTCGAATCTGTAATAAATTCTAGCATGCTTAATCAAATTGGCTCCAGTGGTCCATCTCTTGGGGACTCGCTCCGTAACAATACAGAAATTAAAAAACCCTACATGGAAGCTAATTTCAGAGAGTCATAAATAACGTGAATATGACAGTGAGACTGCTGGCTGCTTGAGACTGAGCAGGCAGTGTCCACCTTTATAATTAGGTGGCATTTGGGTAGACACCCGAATGATAAGAATCAGTCATGTGAAAATCTGGGTCCGGCAAACACTGATGGACATCAGCACTTGGGACTCCTCTTCATGTGGGGAAGTGCTCTGTCATTTTCTTAATCAGAGGAAGGTGCTTGAAAATCCCTTATTTTCCCTCTCTCTCGCTCTCTCTCCCTCTCTCTCTCTCTCTCTTCTCTCTCATACTTTACCAGGGACCATGAAGTAATTGATATTTTAATGTGTTCTGATAAGGTATCACATACAGATACTTTTCCTTTTTGAATATTTTACCAAACACCATGTACAGGGACAAAAAAACAAAACAAAACAAAATCCAAAGCAAAGCATCATGTAGAATCTCTTAGCTATCAGGCTCATATCATGCTCTGGGGCAGCCCCTACTAGGCCCCAAGGTAGCAGAGCCTTTAAAAAGTTATTTCAAAATAGCTATAGATTCACAGAAAGTTGCAAAAAAAAAAAAATATTCAAGGAGGTCCTATGTACCTTTAATCCAGTTTCCCCGAACCATAACACCTTGCATAACTATAGTGCAGTATCAAAACCAGGAAATAAAGACATGGGTATCAGCCATGGAGCTTATTCAGATTTCACCAATTTTATATGCACTTATTTGTGTGTGTGTGTGTGTGTGTGTGTGTACTGTTATGCAATTTTATGTAAACATTACCACCATCAAGATGCAGAAATGTTCCATAAACACAAGGCTCCTCCCCTATCCATCTCTAGATCAATTCTCCCACCAAGGTTGGGACCTTGCTCACAAACTTCAGCTAGCTCTAATTCTTGGCTGATTTCTTTAGCTCTGAGTCTGAAGGCACTCTATGGGATGAAAGGCGGCTGTGTATTTTTTTTTTTTTTTTTTTTTAAGAGTGCCATCTCAGATGCAGGGAAAGGGGTGCAGACTTGCAACCCTGAGTTGATGCACGATTTGCAGCCGGGTAAGTTAAGTGAGCTGCAGGTCGGAGGTCGGAGGAAGGCAATTGCAGGCATGCAGGTATTTAGGCCGGTGGGACACGAAGCCAGCAAAGCCAGGAGCCCCTGCCTCGGAATCTGCGACAATGGCAGGGGTGCTCCCCAGAAAAACCATCAAGACACCTACCAGCGAACGTGCTGGGATCCATCCCGCCTTACTTTTTAAGTGCAGGACCTCCAGGTCCAAGTGCTTGGGGTGGGGGAAGGGGTTTCGTCTCCTAGATAGAGGGGGTGGGCCTTTCCCTGCAGAGCGAACCGCCCCGCCCCCGACCCCCTAGACACTAGTTTCCAGGTGGGGGGCGGGGCCGGGAAGACTCCGCCCCGTTGCCAGGCGATGGGGGCGGAGACGGAAGCGGCGCTCGGAGGACCGGCGGCTGCGCAGCCGCGCTGGCTCCTTTTCCCGCCCCGCCCCCGCCCCGCCCCCGCCCTCCCCCGGAGCTGCGCACGCGTCGCCCAGCGGCCGCCTCCGCCCCTGCCCGCCTGGAGGCGGGGCTGCGGGTCCCGCACGGGCTACTCTTCGGGTCGGAGCTGCCCGGGAGCCGGTGAACCGAGCGGCCCCTCGAGGAAGGGCTGCGGGCCGACCCTCGCCTTCAGAAGCCGGCGCGCCGGGGGCGGCCTCCGCGCCCACCGCGGCGGAGGAGGATGGTGTTCGAGTCGGTGGTCGTGGACGTGCTGAACCGGTTCTTGGGGGACTACGTGGTGAACCTGGACACGTCCCAGCTCTCGCTGGGCATCTGGGGAGGTAACGAGACGGTGATCGCCGTCCCTCCCTCCGCCCTGCCTCCCTCCCTGGCCTCTCACTGCGCGAGCGGGGTGGGGGGGATGGGGGGAAGGTTGGGAGGGGTCCCCTACCTTTTTGGGTAACTCGGGCCCCGGGCTTGCTCGACGTCGCCACCTGCCACCGCCCTCCTCCGGGGTCACATTACGTACAGCCGGGCGACAGGTCCAGGCCTTGGCCCCCACGAGTTGTTTATTTTTTATTTTTTGGCAGGAGGGGAAGGGGTCGTGGGTGCTGGGTGATAAAGGCCCCCCGTTTTTTTTTTGTTTTTTTTTTGGAGCCGAGTGGCCGAGGGTCCCATCGTTGGGGCTCCCTGGGTCTGGAAGTTCCGATTCTGCCGCTCGTGGCCCGGCTGCAGCGGCTCTGGGTGAGGGAAGGCGGCCGGGCACCTGTGCGGGGTCTCGAACCGGTCACCCCCGCCCCTCCGGGCGGTGACGGGGGGCCCGCGGGTGCCGCACGTGAAGGCCACACGCTGCGACCCAGGACGCCCGCCCTCTTCCCGCCTGTCCCCAGCCCCTGGGTGTTGCCAGACCCGGGTGTGTGCTCGGGCCACGCCGCCCGCCCGGGGTTGCTGGGCTGGATTCGGCTGATAAGAAAAAGCGAAACTCCTGTGCGCAATGAACTCACTCGGGGGTGGTTGTGTGTTTTCCATTCACCCTCTGACCCAGGAATGCCTTATTTAGTAGGTTTGTGAGGCTTCGGGATTGTTTGTTCGGAGAGAATTATTGGCTTTCTTAAAGACACGAGGTGCAGCTGTGGCAACCTCTCAGCTCTGCAAAAGACAGGGAGGGATGAACCTGCGCTGAAACGTGGTTGCTTTGATAGGAAAGATGAAGCTTGACTTCGCATCGGTTGACTCTGGTGCTCTACCTTATTGAAAGCCTCGTTTTTAGTGCTTTCGTTTTTGTAGCACGCCCTTAGACGTCAGATTCCTTTTCTTTATGGAGTGAGTCTCCCAGACCAAGGTTAGGGTTATTATTCTCTCTCTCTCTCTCTCTCTCTCTCTCTCTCTCTCTCTCTCTCTCTCTCTCTCTCTCTCTCTCTCTTTCTCTGTGTGTGTTTAATAAGTTAACGATTCTTGAATATGCACACACTTTCGGACTTCTTCTAAAATACTTTTTAATCTAGATTCCCCCTCCTCCTCTTTATGACATAGTGTAATCATAAAGAAGACCTCTTGTTACTAATCTTGGAGCCTCTTACCATAATAGACTACAAGAACTAGGGATAGGGACATAGTGCTAGGTCAGCATCACTGGCTAGTAACAGAAACTTGCATATTGTTTCATCTGTGCTGCTTCTCATTTGCAAAGTTCAAAAAACAATAAAACGTGTCTCCACCTACCTCAGAAGGAAGCCTTAAGAACATTTTGTGGTGTACTTTGCTTTATGGTGGAAGTTTGATTCTACATACAAGGTGGAGGTTTGTGTGGAGTGTGATTTGACCTGGGATTTGATTATTGAAAATTTACATACATTACAATTCACTCCTGTGATGTTCAGTACTTTGTGTCTTGACAAATGCAAAGACGTGTATGCACCAGCTGTCATGATAGGGAAGAGTTCCAACAAGACTCCCAAAATCCCTCTGCTGCCCTTTTGCAATCCATTGCACCCAGCCCTCATCCCTCCTCTGGGAACCACTGTTCTGTCTCTATTCTTACAGTTCTGTTTTTTTTTTTTTTTTTTCCCCCCCCCCGAGTGCCATGTAAATGGAATTATATGGTGTGGCTTTTAGGGTCTGGTGTCTTTTGATTTCACTCCTTTCACTTCTTATGTAAAATGAATTTGAGAATCACCCATGGGTTGCATGCATCAGCATTTCACTCTTATACTCTTTAGTAGTACTTTCATTGTATGATTGTACTATAAATGTTTATCTCTTCATGGGTTGAAGGACGTTTCAATTTTTGGTAATTATGAAGAGCTGCCTACTGGTTTTCCTGTGATCATACATTTTTATTTCTTTGGGTAAATACCTATAAGTGGGATTTCAAGGTCTTATGGTAAGTGTAAATTTAATTTATGTGAAGCAATGAAACTTCTTTTCAGAGTAGCTTTCCATTTTGCAGTCTCCCCAGCATTGTACAAGTGCTTAATTGCTCTTACCCTTTCTAGCACTTAGTAGTGTCATTTAAAAATCTTTTTTTTTTTTTTTTTTTTTTTTTTTGCCATTCTAATAGGTACATCTGATAAAGTGTTACAGGTTTAATTTTTATTTCCTTAGTAATTGAAGTTGAACTTTTTTCTTTTTAAGTTTCAATTTCTTTTTTTTTTTTTTTTTTAAATATATTTTATTGACTTTTTACAGAGAGGAAGGGAGAGGGATAGAGAGCTAGAAACGTCGATGAGAGAGAAACATCAACCAACCGCCTCTTGCACACCCCCTACTGGGGACGTGCCCGCAACCAATGTACATGCCCTTGACTGGAATCGAACCCAGGACCCCTCAGTCCACAGACCGACGCTCTACCACTGAGCCAAACCGGTTTCAGCTGAAGTTGAACATCTTGTTCTTTGCTGTTTGTATATTCCGTTGAAGTGTCTGTTCGTCTTTTGCTTTAAATTTTTTTTTCTATTTCTATTGATATTAATTCACATTTTAAATTTACCCTTTTAACATGCATGGTGTTTTTAGTATAGTCACAACATTGTGTAACTATCAACAATGTCTAATTCTAGAACATTTAAAAATTACTTATTATTGAAAGTATTACACATGTTTCCTTTTCCCCCCATTGATCTCTCCATGCCCGCTCTCCCACCACCCTACTGTCTGTGTCATTTGGTTACACTTGTATGCATGCGAGTCTTGGTTGATCTATTTTTTTTTTTTTTTTTAAATCCTCACCGAGAATACCTTTCCATGGACCTTTAGAGAGTGAAAGAGAGAGGAAGGTAAGCTAGAGAGAAACATCGATGTGAGAGAGATGTTTGAGCCAGGGCCCAGGCCAGGGACTAGCCTGTAACCGAGATACACACCCCTGATTGGAATTGAATCCGGAACCTTTCCGGCTGCAGGCCAATGCTCCATCCACTGAGCCAAAGTAAGGCTGGTTGATCTCTTAACCCCTGTCTTCCCTCTGAGGCTGGATGATCTGTTCCATGCTTCTATGTCTCTGGATCTATTTTAGTTGATCAGTTTATGCTATTCATTATATTCCACAAATGAGTAAGATCATATGATATTTATCTTTCTCTGACTGGCTCATTTAACTTAGCATAATGCTCTCTAGGTCCATCCATGCTGTTGCACATGGTAAGAATATTGGTGGGCACTTAGGCTGATCCCAAATTTTAGCTATTGTAAATTGTGCTGCTATGAACATAGGGGTGCATTTATTCTTTCTGATTGGTGTTTCTGATTTCTTGGGATATACTCCTAGAAGTGGGATTACTGGGTTGAATGGGAGTTCCACTATTTATTTATTTATTTATTTATTTATTTACTTATTTATATATTTTTATTGTTTTTTTTTACAAAGAGGAAGGGAGAGAGAGAGAGAGCTAGAAACATCAATGAGAGAGAAACACCGACCAGCTGCCTCCTGCACACCCCCCACCAGAAATGTGCCCTCAACCAACGTACATGCCCCTGACCGGAATCGAACCTGGGACCTTTCAGTCCGCAGACCGACGCTCTACCACTGAGCCAAACCCGGTTTCAGCTCCACTTTTTATTTTTTGAGGAAGCTCCATATTTTCTCCACAGTGGCTGCATCAGTCTGCATTCCCACCAGCAGGGCACGAGTGTTCTTTTTTCTCCACATCTTTGCCAGCACTTGTCATTTGTTGATGATGGCCATTCTGACAGGTGTGAGATGTTACCTCATTCTTGTTTTGATTTGGATCTCTGAGATGATTAGTGACTTTGAGCATGTTTTCATGTGTCTCTTGGCCTTTTGTATGTCCACTTTTGAAGAGTGTCTATAAACTTAAGTTCTTTGCCCATTTTTTAAAATATATATTTTTTATTGATTTTTTTACAGAGAGGAAGGGAGAGAGATAGAGAGCTAGAAACCTCGATGAGAAACACCGACCAGCTGCCTTTTGCACACCCCCTATCTGGGATGTGCCCAAAACCAACGTACATGCCCCTGATCGGAATCAAACCTGCGACCTTTCAGTCCGCAGACCAACGCTCTACCACTGAGCCAAACCGGTTTCAGCCCTTTGCCCATTTTTTGTTGGATTGTTTATCTTTCTTTTGTTAAGTTGTATGAGAGTTCCCTATAAATTTTGGATATTAGGCTCTTATCAGATATAACATTGGCAAATATGTAGTAGTCCTATGCAGTGTACTTTCTTGTTGTTTTGTTGATGGTTTCTTTTGCTGTGCAGAACCCTTTTATTTTTATGTAGTCCCATTTGTTTATTTTCTCTTAGGTTCCATTGTCCTAGGAGCTGCTGTATGGGTAAAGATATTGCAACGACATATGTCTGATATTTTGCTGCCTATGGATTCTTCTAAGGTTTTTATGGTTTCCCATCTTATGTTTAAATCCTTTATCCATTTTGAGTTTATTTTTGTGTATTTTATAAGTTGTTGGTCTAGTTTCATTAGAAAGATCATACACCATGACCAAGTGGGATTTATTCTAGGGATGCAAGGCTGGTACAATATTTGCAAATCAATAAACATGACACATCACATAGACAGAAATCACAATCATATCAATTGATGCAGGAAAAGCATTTGACAATATCCAACACCCATTCCTGATAAAAACTCTCAGCAAAGTGGGAATAGAGGGATCATACCTCAACATAATAAAAGCCTACATAACAAACCTACATTTAACATCATACTCAATGGGCAAAAACTAAAACCATTTCCCTTAAGAACAGGAACAAGACAGGGATGCCCACTTTCATTACTCTTGTTTGACATAGTACTGGAAGTACTAGGCATTGCAATTAGACAGGAAGAAGAAATAAAAGCATCCAAATTGGAAAGGAAGAAT